CAACGCCCCATCTACCATCGATACGCTTCCACTTCCGGTATACTGGCCTCGCTTTCGTACTCGATGACGTCGCTCCGTTCCTGTTTCGTTCTAGCGTTTCTTGACCTTGTTTTCGTTTACACAGAAATTTAAAAAAAAAAAAACCCAAAAAACAAGTATCGATCCCGACAATTAACAAAACGGGCACATTTTTGCCTTAATAACCACGTCTTATTTCATTCCCGCCTGCTTTTATCGATGTAAACGTAATCACTTACGGCCGGAAATAATCTCTCACACGTGGAAGTCGAATCCGAACAAACAGGAAACACGTCACAGGCACGCTCTAAGTGCACGTGATAAGTATTTACGAAACACGCGCCGCGCTCGAAGATTAAAAATACGACGTTTTAATGTATTTTTATACTGGAAATTTAATTTTAAAAAATTTATTAAACGAATAAAAATAAGATTACGCCTTGATTTTAATTTTTTTTTAATTATTGCAAACGTTAAATGTGATTAATCACGGAACATTAAACATATTTATTTGCATTTTTTTTTATTTTCGAAAAATATTTTAACCGTAAATTACTTAAACTCCCTTTGTTTTTCTCTCCCCCAGAAAATATAATATAATTTTTTTTTTGAATTTTTAAAAGTAATTACAGTGGCAATCGATTGGTTGAATAATTTGAATACATACATTAAAAAAAGATGGCAACCGTCACCGAATGTGCATGTGTTTACGTCATGTGCGGAGGTGTTAACAAACATAAAAGGATTATAAATGATAATTTATAAGAGAAATCGTTAATTTAAATCGCGTATAACGCGCTCGACGACACGCGAAACACCATTTTTTAAGCGTTAATTCGGGGGTGGAAGTTTATATCGAAGGAACGTAAGGGTAATTTATAAAAGTAATAAAAATAATTCCATCAAAGTTTACTTAATACCATCTATAGTTGCGTAACCATGCTATATAATTAGTATTAATATCAATTACTCATACTGCCTTATTAACCCATAATATTTTAACAGTAAGTACTATTAACAATAAGGTATTATCACTTAAACTACCACTTGAACTATACTACTATAGCAGTTATATGACTTATTTTACTCAATACTTTAGTAGTGATAATGCTATAAGTTACTTAAATGGCTTGCTATCTATCATATCTTATAAGCAATAATTTTATTATTACTTTAATAGTTTACTAATATATAACTTTTAACAGTAGCGCTTTACTATTAATACAATTGTACTATTACTAAAGTTATATAATAGCATTACTCCTGAAGTATTATTACTCCAATAGAAGAGTAGAACTATTAAAACAGCATCACTATGCTACTACGATGATACTACGACAGTACGTAGTATTATTCCAAATTTTAGAATAATTCCAGTACTACGATAATACTACGATACTACTATCGTAGTACTGTATTATAATCGCTACATTATTCTGAGCTTTAGTACTATTAGAATAATAATTACTTATAGCATTGTAATATATTACTTTAAACAGTACTAGTATTAACTTAAGTATAATACTAATAATACTATAAACATTTTCTTAAGTAATTAATTCCTTCATTTTTGATTCTTTTATTCTAATACTTTCATTTGAGTATTATTACAACTGTATTAAAATTGCATTAATGTTTAATTTTGCTATTTTTTATTAATGAAAATTAAAAAAATAATAATAATATTGGGCAAAAGTATTTGTATTGGTAAAAAGTAAACATTATTTACTTTAATATTTTCTTGGTTCTCATCTCGTCGATTTTCGTTCTTTACTCCATTTTTTTCAAATTGATATTTATAAATAATTCAAAAGGAAACGATCGGCTTTATAGATCTCATTCTTTTTGTTCTTCTTTAAAAAATAAAATCAAATTAATAAATGATGCTCTCTACTGAAATAGTTTCAATCGTTGGCCATAAAAGACGACGTTTTCCTTTTTCATCATTTATGCGTAAGCTGAAAAGTAATGTTTTACCAAAGTTTTTTGATTATCTCAAGAAATTTTAGAATAATTCCAGATGAAGCATTCGTAGCTTTTATTACTTTATTTTTTTATCAACTGAATTCTCATAGAAGATTGAAATCTACGTATTTCAGAAGAGTGTTCCAAATTAGAGTATACAAAAAATAACTTTCCAAGCTAAAATATTATAACAATGACTAAGATAATGTATTTCAAACTAGTTTCAAAAGAATGTTTTTAAAAGGTATTCTAAAATAAATGCTTGAGAAGAGTGTTCTAAATAACTGCTCTGGAAGACATATGTTCTCGAAGTAATCCCAAAACGATGTTCGAAATAGGCACCGTCATTTCAGAATAGAATTTTCTAAAGCTAGCTCAAAGAAATATTTCATTAGGATATTATAAAATAGGATACCCGAGATGAATGTTCCAAACTAGGATGTTCCGAATGGTGTGTATGGAATAAGCGTTCTAAAAGGGTGTTTCAAAATAGGGTGTTCAGAATAAGCTACCAAAAAGTGTTCCAAATAGGTAATATAAAACTAGAAATACATCAATGAGGTGTCAAATGAAGTTATTTCTCATCTTCAATAGGTATTTTCATACGTAGGTATAGCGTTATTGGTAAATCTCTATGATTATATATGAACATTTTATAAAACAAGAGCATCGAAGAATTAATTGCAGGTCCCAAAACATAAAAGGAAGCATTGAAAAGAGATATTAGACAGATATTTTAAAAATGTCTTTCTTATCGGATTAACACAAAATTATTTATCGTATTTTAATTTCTTAATTATTAATTTTAATCCATTTAATAACGTTTGAGCACCAAACAAAGGAGCAAAATGGAGGAATAGGATTATCAGCGTTGAAGTGTGCGGAGTAATTTAGGAAAGAATAAAGTCAAATTAAAGCAGGGAAACTAATAATTAAATTAAGACAAAAACATTTAGACTTTTAGTCGCATCATTCTAAAATTAATTAGGTTATTTTAAAAAGTATTATACGTTCGTCTGATTGGAGTATAACGTGATGATTGAGTACATGTCGTTGTAATTGGCTTCAGTTTCACTCAAATATCGTCAAAAGTTACATTAACCAATCGGCGATAAAAGTCTCCAAATTTTTATAAAATAACGCAGTCAAAAAGTTTTCGATGTAAAAATTACACTTTTCAATTATATTTTTTTAAAAGTCCGAATTGTTTTTCATAATAAATTTTTTCGAATGCATGATTCTTCAGAAACAGCGGTGTCCGCAGACTATGAAAAATGAGAAGCACAAGCTATAAAAAAAAGACATTGTGCAAGGAGCTTCAGACTCTTCGATTCAACATCGGATCAGCGCTTCCACAAGGTGGCTGGTTGCATTCGGTGCTAAGCTAACTTGGCCTTGAAAACAAGAAATGGGTTTTTGGTCGACATACGACGAAGTTACACGAGTCAATGGACAAATATCGTTTATTGGTTTCTTTTATATTCGTAGAATAGCTAGAAGTCACGAATTTTCTGTTGTTTGGGGCTTTCTTGAAGATGAGGAAAAGGAGGACACGTGCTCCAAGTGACCCAATGTACGGGCGCCCCTGTTCAAAAAGCTCATTTTTCAAAGCAAAATCAAAACCAAAATACGCAAAATATATTGTGAAAATAGTTGAAACCAAACCAAAATTTATTTTATATATTTATTGTGACATCGTCACAATGCTCGCGAGTTCAATAGCGTCTTGCTCATGTACAGTACAGTACAGTACAGTACATCATACGTTTCCTGTTGACAATAAAGTGATGCCGTCGTCTATCTAACTCCGTTCTGGAGAAAATTTTTGAATTGAAATAACGTATATATTAATATTAATATTCGTATATAGTTAATTGAGGCCTCCTGCCTTAGTTTTCCACATCTGGTCTCGACTTTCATTTATCTAACTCCGTTCTGAACATAAAGGAAGGACAGACAGTTAGACGGATGACAGAGGTATTTTATAGATCTGCAATTTGAAATTTATAGGACCATAAGGCTCGATAGTGGCAAGACGTTCAAGGAATTAGATTATAATATATTTTAAACATCCTTTGATATTTCATTCTAACGGTTCACACAGTTAACTAACTTTTGAGTCATCCTATATATACTGTAATTGTTTGAAATATTTAATATGAAAACAATTGCATATTTGAGTATAAATTCTAACATACCAGTATATATGACGTTATACAATATCGAGGGTGGCCTAAAATTCAGTTAACTATTGTAAGCACTAAATCGTGAAAAGGAAACATTATTCTACACAAAAAATAATCGAGCACGGTTAACCGACTTTTGAGCCACTCTTATATTGACTGAAGATCATTAAAATAAGCTTTCTTATAATTAAATTAACCGCATTATTGCGTATAAGACAACAATTTATCATAAAAAATTAAAAAAAAATATGCAAATTATACATTTTTATACTTTTTTCCAATTAAAATATTAAAAATAAATATACATTAATTTTATTAAATTTAATATTAACTTATCAGCACAGAGAATCAATCATGTTTAAATTATTTATTTTCTAAATAATTAATTTATTTAAAAAAAAAACTAACATTTAGTGCTTTTTATTCCAAAAAAATGTTTTAATTTAATTAATTTTAATCTTTTTTTTTCCTTTAATTAATTAAACAATTTATTTATTCAAAAGGCAGTTTAATTTTTTAAAATTTTTGTAAGAATTTTTTAAAAATAATATTCTAATAAAACTAATTTATATACTTTTATAAATTGCAAAAAATACAATTTTTTTAATTTTAAAAGAGAAACTTTTAAAAATTAAAGAAGTTACATTTTAATACATTTTTATTCATTTTAAATAATTTTATTTTTAATAAAATATTTTATATCAAACTTTTCAACAAAAAATAAAAAATATTCGTCAAAAAATCTAAAAATTTGATGCCAATAAATGATTTTTTTAAATGATTTTTATTTCATTTTCTCTCAAAAAATTTCACGATTATTTTTACTTTTTCGCTATATATATTTTTTAAATCTTCCATCCAAAAATTTCACAGTTTCTTGAATTTTTGACTGAATTTTCTACTTTTCTAGTCTAAAAAATAAACAAAAAATCATTTTTTTTATTTTTATTTCATTTTCATTCATAATTTTTGTGAATTTTTTAACTTTTGTTTTAGTTTTGTAATCAAGAAATTAAACAAAATAAATTTTTTTAGATTAGATTACATTTTTCATTTAAAAATTCCACACTTCCTTCGCTGTGTTTTTATTTTTTTCTGATAAATTTAAATAAAACACAAAGAATTTTTTGCAATTTTTTCGAATTATAAAAAACATTTTAAATTAAAAAATTTTACAAATTAATCAACCAAGTTTTTTTTCTATTTTTTTTTTTTTACCTGGAAGTTCCAAATTTGTCATCAATTCTGACTTCAGTCTGACAATTCTGCGAAGTGGCTGCAATTTTGATGAGCATCAAGTCATACGTCACGTTGACGTAATATTCCGATATGGAAGGAGAAAATGGAGGTGTAATATTCAAAAATGGTTCCAAACTCAAAGAAGCTATATAAGGCATCGTACTGGGATCTGAAAACCCAATTTCCTTCTAAAATATTACTGAAATCGCCCTTCAAAAATTGAAAAAAAATGGAAGAAAAAAAGTATACAAACCTTCGCTGCATTTAATCCTCTTTGGAAATTCTAAAAATATAGAAAAATTGTTTAAAATAATAATTTTTTAGATGAATTTTTATGAATTTTTCAAATAAATTTTACCGTTTGTTTCCATTTGGAAATTCATTTTATCAGAAGATACCTCTTCGTAATTCCAGTTATCCATCAATTTGGTTAGGTTATCACTTTTCCTAAATTAAAAAAATAATAATAATACAGAATATTTGCATCGTATTTTTAAAAATTTAACCATTAAAATTGTTAGTTTTCTTCACATATAAATGAATAAAATTACCATTTATGAGCGGCATCACCACTGGTGTAGTCATCATCCATAGATTGACGATTATAATGACGTTCCAACATCACCAAAAACCGATGAAATTCCGATGTTGTATGTTGCCATGGTGATCTAAAATTTATTTAAATAGAATTAAACACGAAAATTCGCATAATTTTCTGGTATTTATGGTAAAAATTGGCGATGAAAACGTCGGAGTATTCGTATTGATGCAAATGATGGCGCGACGAAATTCTTCACCCCTCTATTGGGTTTTAATAGAAATCTTATGTTTAAAGTCACTATTATAATTTAAATTTAGTTCTCTTGGGGCTCGATAGTAAATTAGTGGTGGTAATTAAAAGAGATGCACAACTGTCACCTACAGGGACAGACCTGTCTAGATTGCTACATTATCTACACAGATTGAATTAAATTGGTAATTAAGAAATATCATCCCTTAAATAACTCTCTTACTGATATAAAGTAACAAAAAGCTCTTATATTTAATTAATTATTTGTTGAAAATTGTCTTTAAATTTCTTTTTTTTTTTAAGGCAAAGTTTCAAGATTTGTTTTGAATATTTGAAAATCCTAATAGATGTGTTGATTGTTTGGATGAATTATTGTTTACTTTGCTTTAATGAAATATTTTTTCTAAATTACTTGAAAGCGATTTAATTTAGTAAGATATGATGAATTTGTAATAAAAATCTGTAATTATTTGCATTTAAAATGGGGAAGATGAGAGGTTTCATCTGTGTAATGTTACTTGCCGTTAAATTGTAATGCTTGTGCGCGCGATTCGTACCTAATTATAGATGTTTCATGGAGGTAATTAGTTATATTAAAATATTTTATGCAAAAATAAGCAAATTGAATCACAAATATGTAAAAATTCACGTAGAATCATATATACTGCAGACAAAATCATGTGAAATTATAGATGTTAGGAGAAAAATTGTGCAGAATTATAGATATTGCAAAGAAATATCATTGAATCGCAGGTATTGTGCAATAAGTCATGTAGACTCACAGATATTGTGAAAAACTCTTGGAATTATATTGTGCAAAATAATCATTGAATCACAAGAATTGTGCTGAAAAACATATAAAATATAGATAAGGGGCATAAAAATTATGGATGTAGTGTAAAAACCACCTAGAATCAAGAGCATTGCACAAAAACACGAAGATTCAAAATCCTTGTCCGCTTTAATCAATGTCAACATTGTTTTATATGCTCGAAACAGTATATTTGAACACATGGAAAGACTTTTAACATTGTTAGTAATAATGTAATAATAAAAACAACGATAAAACTCTAATTATTTTATTTAAAGATAATTTTAATATTGTTAAAAATATTTAATTTATCGATACAAACATTTTGCAATCAGCAGATTACGATTCCTGGTCGAATCATTCAGCATCCTCCTCAAGTTAAGATTTTCCAATATAAAAAAAATTATATTAATTATATTCATAAAATATATAAAATAATTAGCATTTTTAAGTGCGATTTTACAGATTTTCAAAGATGCTATTGATGCTTTAAGACGAACTTCCATTAGTACGTATGATGCTGAAACCCGAAGAAATTAAAGAAACTTCTTAAATTTGGTAAATTTTTTAGAAAGTTAGAAAGTATCGAAACTAATTTCGTGTTATATTTATTGCAGAAACAAAGAAGTCGAGTTTTCTTTTCGGTTAATCTTCATTAGAACAAAGAATCCTTGTTTGTATCACCGAAAGCTAACAAATGAATGATGCTGTTTACGTAATCAATCCTTCTAAAAAAATTACTTTTGTCTAATTTCTAATTTTTATATGTAAAAATAAATAATTTAGCTGTTAATTTGTGGAATTCTTAATTACTTTCAACATTTCTCTTAAGTTTTCTTGGAATGTAACAAGATGAATACTTTCATTTCTTTTCTTCTAAGAATGGAAGATAAATGAAAAATGTCAACAAAATTAAATATAAAAATTAAGAAAGAATTCTTCCTTAATTTAATAATTAATTTAAACAAAAGTTTATTAATTTAATTACAATTAACGATAAATTTAAATAAAACACAAAGAATTTTTTGCAATTTTTTCGAATTANATTATTCAAACATATTTTGTTATTTTAAAATATATTCAAAAAATATTCAGTACATAATTCTAAAAACTATTTAAATATATATATTTCCTCATCTTTCATCTTTCCATAGTGTTAATTAGGTGAAAGATGCGCATATTTTTTAAATATATGTTTAAATAATATTTAAAATATTCAAAACTTATATACTTCTGAAAATTCAAAGCGAATTCTAACATTTTGTTACAATCAGGAAAGGAAGAAAAGAAACTAAAAATCAGCAGAATTATGAATAAAAATTTAAATTTTTTTTTTTTTTATAAAACTTACAAATTTTTCCACAGAAAAAAATCTAAAAATTCTCCATATTTTAAATAAAAATGAACATAAAAATATATATTTTTCCTTTCGTCTTTTATAGCGATAATTTAAAATAGGCTACATTTAAAAAATGTATAACTTTAAAAAGTCGAGAAAATAAATTTATGATTAAGTTTAACTTAAACTTTTAGATATTTTAGTCATAAAAAATAATCTTGTAATTTCGATTTAGAAGTTTTCACGAAAATTGTGTATGTCACGCGATAGGAAAATTAATGGTCTTCGTCACGTGACACAAACAATGACAGGATTAAACATGTGTAGTCCGTGTACAGTGTAAACGAATCATAGCGTATATGACATTTAACCAAATTTTAGCAAATATATACAATGCTTTTTATCATACCTGCTAACAGGTCCTAGTCCTGGATCAGTTTCCAAATCTCCATCAGAAAAATGTCTCTCCAACTCGTTGATCAGTTCCTCGTATTTTTCGATATTTGAAGAGGGGTATAACTGTAAATATGCATTAATAAAATGAGGTATAAATGTATTTTAATAAATTAAGTAATAAGAACAAATACTATGTTTCGAAAAACAGCAGCCAGCGTTTGAATATCGCTATAAAACCTGAATTTATTTATTTAATTATTTATGTACAGCTGTTTTACGACCTGTTCAGCGTACACAGCTACAGCTGTGGATAATGAGGAATACTTAATGATTCTCCTCACTCTCTAAAGCTACAATCGGTCCGTAGTGAAGTAGATCTGATGGTTTTCTTCAGTGTATGGCTACAGTTATTATTAAGCTAGCTGTGTTTCATTGTAGAGAACTCATTGCTCTCTTTAGTATATATATACCTACAGATAAGTTTATAATTAGATTATAATTACTTATGTATACTGAAGAGAACCATTGAGTCCTCTGTGTACAGAAATCAATGAGTCCTTTTCAATATACACAGAAAATTGTAATATAACCTTAACCATAACAGTTATAAATATTAGACAGAACTATTGTATCCTCTTCAATGTGCACAGTTGCAGCTACAGTTACAATTAGCTGTGTATACAGGAGAACTGAATGGTTCTCTTCACTAAACGCAGTAATTATAACCATAATTGTAAACGTATCTATGGTCATATACACTAAAGAGAACAATTGAGTTCACTACGATGTACACAACTAATTTAACCGTTTAAGTGTAAGTGTAGCTGTGTACACTGAAAACATATCGGATTGGGATGCATGTGTATATAAATAATTAAATAAATAAATAATCCCTGATTTAATGGTAATCTTAATCTGTGATTATTGTCTACTTATTGAAAACTCAATATTGGTTGTTCTTGTTACGTTTACTAATGTAATTTTTCAACTCCCGAGTATTTTTTTTAAGTATGTCAAGCAGAACGAAACAAGGAAAATATCACAATTATGTTCATACGAACGAGAGAATAAATACAATATAAAATTGTAGCATCTTGCTGAAGATAATTAGTTAGAAAAGAAGGAAATATCTTTCTAGTTACTTTACTGTTATCATGAGAGGAGTACAAAGGATTCTACAAGAGGAAAGATGAACAAAGAATGAAGATGCAGTCAGCCATAATACATTTTCAATACATTTCCGGAAATGAGCAGTTATAAAAAACCCTTTTTAAGTGAATACACTAAATTTTTAACAATTTAAACCATTTTATCAGTGAAAAATTTACTTAATTAACTTTAAAATATCTCATTTATTATCCTTCATTAGAAAATGAGCTGAGCTTAATTAGTGTGCACGTATCGTAAGTTAATAGATGTTACGCTATTCTATAGAGAATATGTAACGTTTTAGTGTATAAAATAATGTTAAAAATGCGATAAAATGGTTAATTATGCTTAATTCTCTCGGACAGAAAAAGTTATGTTTAGTTTTAAATAACTATATGTTGATGCTTCATCCCGGTGCTCCGATCTTATAAAAGAATGATCGATAGAGGTTGGTGTGGAGAGGAAGAGATTGCATCATTTGTCTTCTTGTGGACATCTCTATTCGTATGTAATTAGCTGCAGTAATTGAACATACATCCACTTCCAATTCTAGATTAATATCTTCCAAAGCTAATTTTGAAGTTAATTCTATATCTTAAATATGTATTTTTTAGATTTTAATATATGTAAATTCAGTTATATCAGTTCGAATATAACTAAATTCACTACTTTTCTATGAAATAAAGTATAAAACCTTATTTTTTCGAATGATTTTCATGTCATTTGTTCGTAAACCACTACAAAAAATTATATCTTTTTTATGTTTTGCGCTTCGAAATTTGTTAAGAGAAAAAGATTTGTATAATTTTTGCTTCAATTTTATTAGAAAAGCAGTTTTGATATATATTTTTCAGTTTAAAGTTATAAAAGTAATGTGGTTTTATGTGTATTTTCACTTTAAAATGATCAGGAAAATCGGGATTGTGTGCATTTTCTCGTTAAAGCTATCAGAAAAAGAAGGATTTTACAAATATTTGCGTTACAATTAACAGAAAAATGGGAGTTTATATATTTTTCACGTTAAAATCAATAGAAAAGACGAGATTTTATATATTTTTCACCTTTTCTGGTACTGAAAGGATAGTTTTTTCTAAGTACACTTCTCATTCACTCTCATAACTTAATTCCAAATTTAAAGAAGGAAAAAAGAATTGAACCTTTTAAAAGTAGATACGAAAAACACGAGAAAAATTAAAATTTTATTAAATAATTCTTAAGCAATTTGAATATCATATGCATAATCCATCAAACTTCTTTCCTATTAATCGAATTGAAGAAGAGCAAGAATCGAGAGAAGAGAGAAAGAGAGAAGTTTTTCAATAGATTAATTAAAAAATAAAATCAAAAGAATTTACTTGCTGAAAGTTAGAATTTAATCGCAGGAACCTTTTTCTTAAATTCTTTTTTATTTGCATAAATTCATTTCATTTAAAAAAAAAAGAAAATGTAAAATGATGCAAATTGCAATAAAAAGGATAAATCTGGAAGAATTAATAATAATCGTAATAATAAAAATTAATGAGATTCGCTTCTTTAAACGAGAATTTTAAAATAAAAGTCCCCCCTCAAAATTTAAATTAAAAATTTAATTTTTATAATTTAATAATTGTTTTAAAGTTATAAGTGTTAAAATCTTGAAAATAGAAGTATTGACAGCGCGGTTTGGGAGCAAATTTTTATGTTAAAACTGCAAAATTTTCAATTCTTTTAATAAATATTTCATCCAAAAGCGTAATAAATATTCTTTCTTTTATAATTTAATAAAATTTCTTGGATTTATAAGTGTTAACATTAAGGAAATGTATAGTATTTACAGTAGTTTTTACTGTAAATACTATCATTTTCTTGAATCACAATTTTTGGATAAAACATTTTTAAAATGCTAGTTTTTAAATAAATATTTTGTTTAAAAGCTTAAAAATTTAATAAAAATTAAATTTATTTTTGTTTTTTTTAAATATATATATAAATTTTAAATTTATAAGCGTTAAAATAAAAAAATGGTCTTTAAATCGTAGTTTTCAAGCACGTTTTGAAGAGAAATTTTAAAAACCGAAATTATTCGTTTAACAAATTAATTTGTTAAGTTAAAAAATAAATTATTTACCTGCCTGAATCCACCTTGATTCAGTTTTTCTCTTCTACTATCCAAAATATATCTGATATCATCCGAATTTAAACACATGTCGCTCGTTACGTGACAATTTAATTCCTTTAAAAAATGTAGAAAAATCATAGAAATCATAAATTAATTTAATTTTTACATATTTTAATAATAATAATAACAATAACAACAATAATTATTTTCTACAAAACTTAGTTTCCTTATTATCTGGTAAATTTCCTTTACAGCATATTAACATCCGTTACATGTAATATTCCATTTCCTTGTTTTTTTTAAGAAAGAACGTTCAATTAAAATATGTAAAAAATGTTTTATAAATATAAATATAATTCATTTTTAATCTAAAAATAATAAAATTAACATTATATGATGCTTTAGTTTGTAGAAAAACGCATTTTTAGAGGGTCTTTATGTTGGTTTTAACGCGCAACTTGAAGGATTTTGAGAGCCTCAAAAAATTAAAAGAAATGTCTAAAAAACTTCAAAAAATTAATATTTTGGATCTATTGTAACATTTATTGCGTTATTATTTAATATAAACGTATATAAATTACCAAAACTCCGATGTTATCTGATGACTCCAAGATGGCATCGGTGACTTCTCTAGCAACGGAAGATGGCTCATACAGAAGAGTCATCATATCACTTAAGACAAAACGTTTGATTTTATTGATACGTCGACCCTCTTTTCTATTTTCTTGCAGATTCGGTTGACCATTTACTTCCATAATAGTCGGATACAACGAGCTATTAAACACGACATCTATACCTAATAAATGGAAACAATGGCGGCATCTACATAGAAAAGGGACAAAAATTAATCAAAATATTTTAATTTTTCTGGGAAAACAATCGAAAATAAATTACCTCCATTTATGTTTATCTCGAAAATTCGAATGTCGTGTCGAATCTGCTAGAACCGCTTCGGCAACTAACAGGCTCTGTGTAAGAACGGAGTGTAAATTATTCAAAGCGGTTTTAACTGCTTCCACTCCTCTATTTTTTGCTAAATATCTCCACAAATCCGATAATAACCACGTGCGACTGGTTATCTGAAATAATTAATAAATTTCAATAAGTAAAAGTGCCTTAGAATTCAAGCTTATCAACCTTTATTTTCAATCGGCGAAATCCGTATACTTTAACATTACAGGCAAGGATCGCGGTCTACCGGTTGGAAATTCAATTTATTCTCTAGCTTTTTACTTTTAATTTCAAGAGCGTGTAACCTCTACGTTTTTCGACCGAAATATCATATAAATTCCTCGATTACGTAGGAAAGAAATAAGAAAAATCTAGCGACGTGACATATAAAGTATAGGTTGGAAAGTGTAATGGTTTCTGTGCTACAATTAGCTAGAAAATACCTGAATTATTCATTTCTCGTGTATCTAAGCACACCATTAGTTCTAATCGTCGGTCAAAGGTGATTAATAATGGCACAGACGTTGATATTATAAGATACGAGATTGTTTTGTGATCGATGTAGAGGAGCAGCATTCGCTATTTTTTCTATACCTTCCTCTTATTATCTTATTAAAGGAAAGTCTCGTGTGTTTGTTCGACACCAAACTATGAACAAGTTATTCATTACAGACCCCTCTTTCTTTTTTTTTATTTGAAATTCATTCAAATGATACGTTTTTTGATAAAATCAAATCTATCTTGTCACTGGTGATGGATATTCTTGCTCTTCTCTAACGATAAGATTCCGTATTATACACTTTACTACTGTTATCTTGAATAAATTGAAGCTGGCGCTAACTTAAGATATTAGATAACTTTCAAAATCAATCGATACGAAAATATATTTAAAGCGTAAAATTACAATTTAATATTCATTTCGACTTGGCTAAGAAAAATTGCAAGGGATTCCTAAAGGTTCCCGAATTTATTTTCTGTAATTTTTGATTTTTCTTGAGTATTGAGTGTATTTCCTCTTTAGTCTCTATCTTTTGAATCCTGAAAATATATCCTGAATTGTTTCAGTTTATTCCTTAAATATTGAATATATTTTCTGTTATTCCCTAATTTTCCTCTGAATCCCGAAAATATGTCCCGCATTGTTCTGTCTATTCCCTAAATCTTGAATAAATTTTGTTATTTCCTATTATTTCTCTAAATCATGAAAACATATTCCGGTTATTCCTGTAAATTTCCGGAATATTTAATACATTTTACGTTCTTGTTCTTCCAGAATTTGCTATAGTTCCTATTCCCCCGAATGCTAGATTATTTTCTGCCATTTCTCCGCAAATTCTGAAAATATTCGTAAATTCTAAAGACATTAAGCATTACATATTTAGAAATAGATTGAAAATAAATTCAGGATATACAAGATGCTAAATTTCATCCACCTAATATTTATATATAAAGATACATTTTATTTTCTTAAGATCTGAAAATAAATACGTATATTTTCATATCGATCATCCGGAATGATGTTAAAATATTAAAAATTCTTTTTTGGATTCATTTATTTCTTTTATTCATGAAGACAAAAGGTAGACATTTTGCAGTTGTATACGTTTAATAACTTATAACTTTTAAATGTATTCTTTATCGATCGAAAACTCGATTTACTTCGAACACAATTTCTATTTTTATTCGTGAATATTTATAAAGCAATTCATTTTATTTTATTATTATTTTTTCTAAATTTACCTTTCGAAAATTCTTATGATGATCGTAACGATGATGAACTAATCCTTCAGAATATACGTAGGCACGAAGTGGTAGAAGGGATGTTACCAGAACGTATAGACGTGCACTTATGGGATGTCCAAATACCGTGAGGATGTTGGGTACGAATTGCTGTATAACGGCTCTCTTTGTCTGGTATCTATAATTATAATCATTAAAATGAAAGATAATTAATTCCCTGATCGACGGAAGTGCTATATACGTTAAGCCCATCTGTCCGTATTAAAGATCATTCACGTGCCATCTGTTTGCCTTAAATGGGTAGCGTTACAAGCATGAAAACAATTTTATGTCTGTTTTCTCACTGATGTAACTCATAGATATGAATAACAAACGAAGGTTACTTGTATCCTTCCAGCTGTAACTATTTAAATAGGTGTATATGCCAGGATAACATCTATTTAAAGCGATGGAGTTGTAAAGGTACTACTTGTTTATACAGGTATGATTAGGAAATTATCTAATCTTTTAGCTATATTTATTGAAGTAAGCACTATCTCTTCACATTTAAACAGGTATTTTTGGAAGAATAATACTTAAGTTTTCAAACAAGAATTACTTTCGCAGCTTAATTGATACCTATGCAAAGTGGTATAGAGATGAAAATAATACTTGTTTAAGTGGGTGCAGCTGGAAAGATATTCTTCTAGTATTTCAATAGAAACATATTATAACTCCATCTTTATCTGTTTAAATAGGTGTAAATGAAAAAGAACGAAGACGTACTGTAACTAGACATTATCTTTACATGTATATTTTTATATCTTAATTAAGTAAGAAGGCATTGTCATTCTATCTGCACTTTGAAATAGATACGATCTTTCTAACTACACCTGTTTAAATAAATATTATCTTTATGTTATATTCATTTAAATAGGTGAAACTGAGATGATGTAGCTGTACAGATAATTCTTATTTAAAAAGGTATGACTGGAAGATATGCTTCCACATTGAAAATATATTTAAAAAATTAAATTCGTCTTCACATCTCCGTTATGTCCAATTCGATTGAAAATTATTTTTCCAGTTATAACTATTGAAATAAATGCTGTAACTTTTCCTCATTACAAACATATAGCTTGGTAAATAAAATAGCTTTATCTTTCAATATCTGCTTACACAAATATTGTCTTTATAGTTATACACATGTACGTATTTAAGTGAAGCTTAAGTAAATAGGTATAATTAGAAGAAATATACAAATTTAAATAAGTATAGATCTGTTTAAATAAGTAAAAATAACTTAACCTATGTTATAGACATAATGAGTAAATGTTATTTACTAATTTTTCTGTATCACTAGATATCTGTTAATGGATTTTATAACAAAAATACTTTTAAATCACGAATTAAAAGAAGAGTTCGTGTTAATGATCACGATATATTACAGAGTTCTATTGTTAATAATTATAAGATAATGCTTTTAAAAAATCAATATCAAAACAGTAACAGAACAGAACTGTTAAAGCATTAAAAGCGCTTTAAAGTAACCCATCCTGAAGGCTTTAATAATATATAAAATGTATAAATATATATATCTTAATTAAATAATATAAAAAATATATACTTACATTTTAAATATATATCAATCAATTAAATTAATTAAATAAATTTAATTGATTTAAAAATATAGTATATCTACAAAAAATAATGTTTATTTTATATAGGTAAAATTATAAAAATAATGCCTATTTAAAAAGATATGACTGTCAAAATGCTTATTTAAGTGGGTAGAATCAGACCGAATTTGTATTATACATAAACAAGCTACAAGTTAGGCCCTTATACTTTTACATGTAGACGGGAAAGGCTTGTTGTATATTATAGCTTAGGACCCCAAGTCTGTCCACCCAGTATAGCTGTAAAAATTCTATTTTAAATAGATAGACATTAAAAATATAGCACCTGTTTACATGTATAGATACAGCTGTACAAAAACTGTGTACTTGAATTAGTATAACTGTAAAAACAATATATATTTTAAATAGATTAATAAGGCCTATTAAGGTATAGCTGTAAAAATAATGTTGATTTAAGTAGATATGCCTATTTTAATAAATAAAACCGTAAAACCAATGCTTATTTGAATAAATACAATTATAAAAGTGTCCATTTAAATAGAAATAGAGTAAAAATAACACTCGGAACACTGAAAGATAATACCTAATTTAATGATAAAACGAGGGGGAAAAGGCTATTTAAATAGTTATAACTGTAAAAATAAGTATTTAATTAGGTATAACGATAAAGATAATGCATATTTAAATAAATATTATTAAATTTAGGCAAGTAAAAATAAAAATAATCGAAATTTTTCCATAAGGTAAGAGTAAAACTTTGACTTACATTTCTAAATCAAGTAAACCAGATGGAGTATAAATATCTAACAATTTCGGTCCCATGTCTGCTGGTCTAGAACCTGGTGTCACAGATTTAATTATCCAAGATCCTTCCCCCAGGCTCTCTCGAAATTCTCTGTATTGAGTTGGCATCACATAGCAAGTGGGAACTAGATGCAGTCTGCGTACTTCTATACAAATAGATAAATCTCAATTTACTATAATTTCGTTTTAGTTTAAAGAGAATTTAACATTTAACAAGATAATTTAACGATTTCTAAACATTATAACTTTATTTATTTTATGGATAAAGGAATTTGATTATACGTTTCTTACAATTCTTTTTAACTTTATTAACGTAGAATGTAGATAAAAAATAAAAATATTTCACGTATCACGTATCGTGAATCAATTTTAAGTAAATTATTATTAAAATTTAATATCTTTAACGTATAAAAATTTAATTATTTTAATTGTAAACATTTAATTTTAATTTCTTTTTATATTTTTAAAGCATAAATTCATCATACACGCATTAAACAATGGGAAAAGGTGATATAAGAAGAATCCATTTATATCATTTATTATGTAAAAAAATACTTAAAAATTCATTTAAATCGATAAAATATTGAATATAAAATTTAAAAATACATAAATATTTATTTTTTCACATCGAAAATTAATATAATTTTCATATTCATTAAAATAGAAGAGATTAAAATAAGAAAAATATTTATAAAGTTTGCGTATCCAAATCAATTTTTAATAAATTATTGAAATTTAATATCTTTAAAGTATAAAAACTTTAATTTTTTAAATTATAAACATTTTTATTTTAATAATTTCCTAGTTTTTAAAGTACAAAGTCACGAATACACGAGTTAAACAATAGCTCGATGTGATTTAAAAAAAAAACATTTAAATCATTTATTATATAAAAAAAGTACTTAAAAATTAATTTAAATCGATAAAATATTAAATGTATTATTTAAAAATGTATAAATATTTATTTTTTCACGTCGAAAAATAACTTTAAAATTCATTCTTTTCGGTCGATTATTCATTAGAATAGAAGAGGAGTTGCTTAATGAATCACGATTAGAAAATGACTTTCCATTAGACTATGCTATTGAGATCATGCATGTATAAAAATATTTACTCAAACTTTATTAGTTGATGTTTACATTTGGTCACATGGTGAGAGTTAGCGAGTGAAAGGTATAGCAGCCATTAAGCTGGAGGCAATGCTTTTCATTGTAACCAGGAACATTATATCTAACGGTCAGATCGATCACTGGAAAATTGCTACTACTTCCAGGTTCTGGCTTTACTAGAATATTAATTAGTAGTGAAATATCTCTTGACACGGATTATTGTGGCCTATTGATTAGTATGACACTTCTCACACGTAAAACTAATGAATGTTTAGAAGACATAAACTCACTCGTAAGCTGGGAATTTCATTCATAATTATCCTCTTTTTTTCCTTTATAAACTAACCTGGAATGAGTCTAGCTTTGGAAAAAGTATAACATAGAGAATCCCTCTTCCATAAGATACCTCGAAGTCCTGGGAATCTGTTCACCTGTTTTGTTTAAAGAAATATTATTTAAAATTGAATTTGCGATAGGAAAAATGATCGTGTATAAATTGAAAAAAATGAATAAAAAAATTACATATTTATGCTCACTTTATGATAAGTGTGGAGTTTAGAATATTCTTCTCTTCCTAAACACGGTTTAGTTTCTCGTTCTGTGAACGTTAGACATAAGAAGAGATGCCAATTTCTTGGATCTTCTACTTCTGTATCTCGATCTGTTTAATGAATTTTTTTAGATAATTTGTGGCATTTTCGTATACGAAATTTCCGATGTACGGTACTTACCGTTTCCGAAATAGAATGTATTGTTTTGTACTGGATTGTACCAAAAAGGAAGATGTACTATGAAGTGATAATCTGTTAAAACGCTGAGATACATTGGAAGATCTCGAGCTATGACTGCCCTTTGGCCACGGATAAGGACGACTTTTGGTCCTGAATTGATTGGTCCTAAACATTGGTCCTCTATCTGTAATAGTTGAATATAATGAGAATAAATTTGGTTTATGTTTGTATATATTTAAGATGGAAACAATATTAAAGCCTTTTATAATTTTAGTTATTATTATTTGCTAAAAAAAGCGGTCAAATATGGAAAAAAACTTTACCGAGAAAAATGTGATATAACAGAAAAATACATCGAGAATTACCCACTGATTGGTTTATTCTTTCTTAATGGAAAGCTCCAACGATTAAGAAATACTTTCAACCGAATGAACCTGTATTTAGAGACTTTTCTTAAAGAAAACGACACACACTTTTAAGTTAACTTTTCTTAGAAATGGTCAGAAATACTTTCATAAGCATAATTTTTGCTAAAAAAATTTGTGGATTAAAAACACTTTTTTTACAGGAATGATCGATCAGATAAAGAACTCTTCCTTAAAATAACCACTGAAACCCTCTTTTTTTAAAACAACAATCGTTTAAAGTAGCAATTCTTTTTGTTAAACCAACTTTTTAAAGACCTTTTTTTCAAATTAGCATTATTAAGTATTTCTCAAGAGCATCTTAACCAATGGATTGTAAGAATGATTTTTATGTTTGGAGCATCAAATAGAGTAATCTTTCAGAGACATTCGCTGACTAGAACCATTTGTAAAGCAAGGATAAAGATCCGTTTCTTAAAGGAACCCTAGTGATTGAGGAACGTAGCCTTAGAGGAATGACCTACTTACAGCGGAAGCAATGTATTATTCCTATAATCCAACACTTTCAATTAATTTATAGTATTAAATAGGGTGATTTATTAAAAATACTTGCTGACTGGCACCATTTTAAAGCAAGAATAGAGCCATTTCTTAAAGGAATTCTAATTATATAGAGCCTCTAAACCTTACAGGAATGACTTATTAGTTGGAGAAACAATGCATTAACCTATAATCCAATACTTCCAGCTAATTTATGGTATTAAATAAGGCCATCCTTCAGAAGAACCTACTGACTGAAACCAATTTTGAAACAAATATCTACTGGATAAGAAATGTTTTATTAGAGGACCTCTAATGATATCCTTACAGGAATGGCCTACTAGTTGTGGAAGAAATGCATCATTTCTATACATTTCCAATTAATTTATAACCAATCTTTACCCAAAAACCCTTATTTTTAATTAAATAACACAAAGAAACGTTAATATTTCCCAAATTTACTACACAAAGTTTAATTAAATCATCCACTAATTCATCAATCATTAATTAGTGAATATATAAATATATACAAAGTAAGTTTGTAAAGACTTTAAGAGTAAAAAATAAATTATTTTTAATAAAATAAATACAAATATAATTAAATTTAATTATAATTATTTAATATCCTATTTAATTAGCTTGTCAACAGGAAAAACATTATAAATAGTTGAATACAATGTTTATTTATTTTATGCGAATTCTAATTATTTATTTATTTACATTGATTTTCTCTTGAGATTCCGCTAGAATTTGTCTTTTTAATTATTCACTTTATTATTTTTAATAATAATAAGATGCAAATTGTATTGATAATTAATAGGAAGATACTTCTTGATTCTCGCTTTTATAAGCAAATGACAAGAGTTTCGCTAAATTTCATCTTTTGAATTAATTGATAAACGTGATTTAATATAAATTTAACCAAATATATATGTATATATCTAACATTGAACGTATAAATGTCATCATAACTCATCATAATTTAATATACGTTTATACGACAAATTAATTATGATTAAACGTGACTGTAATTTAAAAAATTCTTCTTAAATAATCAAAATTACACTATAAACATGAATATAGTGATTCTGTATAGAAATAACATTTAAAATCTTTATTCTCCAACCTTTGTTTAGTTGGTAAATGCTTCATTTAGCATACTGAAAGACGTGATTTTATTCGTAGATCGCGAACTATTGGTTTGGAAATGAATTTAAACAGATAAGAAATTTAAAAAATTAAACATTTTTCTTATAATTTTTAAATCGTTGCGTATGAATCTCAATTCTAGTCAAAATAATACGTAGAATTCTACATAGGAAAGCATGTTTAAATAGTACGAACCTAACTCACGACCTTCTTTGAGATGTTTAAGCATCCACTATATAGTCTCACAGGAAGAAAATCATCGTATGAATATATTTATCGATTTTAATAAATGAAGTTCCGTTTAATATAAAAATAAAGAGAGCGAAGTTGCAAGACACTTCCGTTTTAATTTATATATAAAAATTAAATATGTTTTTAATGCGGACTGGAACTTGATAACACGACATTGAAAACTATTCTATTACATAATATATTTATGTAAATTTTTACGTATTTTTTCATATAAAGTATATCTTTTTCTGTTTATAACACAATAATAAATATAATATGTTTATATTTTTCTTTCAAATATAACTTTTTATAAATTATTAAGGGAAATTCCATAAATTTTCTAAATAACCGATGCAAGCGTTGAGTATATGAAACGATGTGTCGACTACATGTAAAATAATCTTATCTTCGATATCTAATGAGTAGTCAGGTGTAAAAGAACACGATTTGTTGACTGATAAGGTAAAGTGAGAAGCATTGGATCGCTTTTTCTAATGAAAAGATTAATTCTGTAAAGAATAAAAACCATAGAAAAAGTCAAAAAAATCGGATATGAAGTTGTCTATTATCCTTATATCAGTCTTTTTTAGTTATAAAAAGAAAATTAATTTTAATTTACAGATTTAAAATTATCACTAAGACCCAATAGAATAGATTAATTATTAAAATAAGCAATTATAAAATTATAAGAGGCATTTTTCTCAAGTGAAATTCTCTCTGTCATTAGCATTTATATATAAATTTATATCAAAGTCTACAGATGAGGCCTTAAAAAGTATAACAACTTTTTAAGGCCTCATCTGTAGACTTTGATTTTTAAGGCCTCTTTTATAAATTTTTTAAAATTAAGCTCGAGATTTCTTAAATTATAGTTCTTATGTATAATTCCAAAAGTTTCGGTTAAGCATCTTTGCATAATTTATGTATAGAGAAGTTACCATGAAAGTTAGTTCATATATAATCAAGTATTCAATATTTGTGATGAATGGAGAGATTGTTTGGAATTCAAATATTAGTTAGAGCCTTATAAATATGGAAGAAATAACGTAAATTGTTTATCCTGTTCAATTTATTAACATGCATTATTCTATGTTTATAATGTTCAGAGTATGCAGCATCTTTAATAGAACGTTTCGTCGATATTTTCTTAAGATAAAGCCATAATTTAATTAATATTGTTCAGTTTAATAATCAAAAGATTAAAATTAATTATAAAAATAAAATATAATAAATCTAATAGAGAATATTCTTAAAAGTTTCTTTAAATTTAGAGATTAATAATGCTACTTAAGTATAGAATAAAAGGGCAATATACTAAAAATAATCAATTAAAATGTATAATATTTTAATTAATAATGTAAATCGTAATTATATTTAACAAATGAATAAATAGATAAATAACTTTTCTTATAAAATATCTGAAATTAAGAAAATTGTAGGCAAAGGATCGAGAGGAAAAAGCAGGAAGAGATGAAGAGATCGACTTAAAAAAACTTGGAAAGAATGGGAAAGAAACATAAAGATGTTACATGAAAGAGAATAATAGGAAAATAGGAAAGGATGAAAGGATTAAACCAATCTGGCCCAACACAAAACGGGGAAGACGAAAATGATATCAATACATTTATCTTCATCTTCATCCTTAAACTTAAGCTACCTTATACAAATAATTAACTCTTATAAAATGATGTACTGTATATATTATCTATTTTGATCCCAAATACTCTCAATTTACCTCCACTAATATTAAATTTAATAATTATTTAAGGTGAAAGTAAAGCTCACTAATCACTAAAATAACTAAAATAATTGCAGTTAGTGATAAAAAGTGAGGAAAGGAGACAATTCCAATTATTTAAAATGTGTTAATTACTCATTAAGTTGATTATATTGCTTTGAGAATTTAAAGGCATATTGAATTCCCAAACGGTAACCTTTACTTATTATTAATTCATGGAAATGTTCAATATATGAATAATAATCGAACATAAACGAGCAATATTAGTTATCCTTGTTATATTAATACTTAAATTATAAATTTATCAAACAATATACATAGATTTATAACGGTTTCTAATATCATTTAGTTCCTATAACTTATAAATACATTTCTATATTATTGCAATGGTTTTAGTCAGTTTAATTGAATTAATGTATAATTAAAATTAATGCTAACTTATAGTTCCGTTTTATATGGTTATATGCAACCCGAATTTATAATAAATTTATATTAATTTTACTCTAAGTATAAACTTTACAGATTTTTAGTGTATTTATATTCTTGTAAACTTCATCATTTATCTTGGATTTTTGTTGGATCTTGGATAAATGGATTTTTGTTTAAAAAATAATTTTTAAGACTATATTTCTAAATAATATTTATTATATTTTCTGACTTTTTTCTTATATTTTATTCTAAAAATCCTTTAACAAGATTTGAGAACTCTAAGATAGATAAAGGTCGTTCGATACAGGCCTTAAATTTATGAGGGGCCTCGAAACAAATATTACAAATTAATTTCTCATCAAATTTTATTTAAAAGCATACGATTTTTTTTTAACTTTTTTCTGTTTTTTAATCCACCGAGGGCCTCAAAAAATGAGCCTTTCTCAGCATCTAAAAGGCCTTATATTAGCTATATAAGCTATAGGTCCTATATATTTTAGAATAATTTTGACATATTATTTATTAAATAATATATATAATTATTTTTCTAAATTCTTCTACGATATTTTTAG